GGGCTGTTTTTTTTTTTTTGTTGTATATATATTGATTTCTTGTGTGTCATTTGCATGAATGCCTTTATTTTGAGATGGTGTTTAGTTTTTGCTAGTATGTAGTCTTGAATTTTTGCTCCTGAAATATGTGATCTTTAATTTTAGCCCTTTAGCTGGATAACTTTAAATTAGGTCATAGATAACGGTATTTTGACTCACAAATTTTCATTAAATGAGTAGCAGGAGCAAAAACTAAAGACCACCCCAAAATAGGGTCAATCCGTGTGAAAACTTGATATCTTATCACATATATGGGATTTGGGCCAAAGCTACTCGGTTTTTGGAAGCCATTTGTTAAAGCCTACATCCGCCCCTGATTCGCTATATTTTTCATTCCTATATAAATGATACTAGTGAATGAGGTGACTTTAAACTGATTGGTAAGAGTTCATATGGTACTCCCAATTTGATTAGGACTGAGGTATAGTTGATATAAAAAGTTGAAACCACAAAAAAGCATATGTGAAGTTCTAACTTTGGAACACTCGGCCTCACAAACTAAATGCTTACATCTTTTTTTAACTAAAGGTTCAGTTAGTTTTCAAGAAATTCTAACTTGAAAACATCCTGCTTCAGTAAGTTCTATAACTGTTTAGTATAAATCTTTTTCCTTTACTTCTTCCAATTTCTTTAGCTAAATTTTTCCATGTTGATGTTGAAATGCCATCCATGGTGGCAACAAAAAGTCCAGCCTCCCAACCTTTGCGACGTCGACCAGGTCTCCCCAGAAAACAGCGATCAGAAGGCGAGCCTCCTCATTTCGCCATACTTTTGCCTCTTATTAATGATTTTGAGCTTGAGTCATGTATAAAACTTTAAAGTTTGCCAATATGAATTGGAATTGTGTCACAAATATGAAGCTTTTTGGTGAATAATATGTATGCTAACAAAAAGATAACACAAAAAGTTCACATTTTTCAGTAAGTTCTAACTTCAAAGTATACATTTTTTAAAACTAAAGATTTAGCATGTTTTCAATAAGTCGTAAATATAAAGCATATATCTTATAAACTAGCCTTAGTTTTAACTTTAAATTGTTAATGCTGTTAGCTCCAGCAGTTTCACCACCTCCAGCATCACTATCGGGGTCGACCAGAGATAGTCCATTGCAAATTTCAGTTACAACAAGTACTCCAGAGGCAGTTGCCCCAATTCCATTGGGGTCAACCAGTGATTGGTGTACTCCAGAGGCAGTTGCCCCATCTCTATTGGAGTCAACCAGATATAGGCCTTTGGAAGTTCCCTCTGGTGAAGAGGGGACAAAGTCAAATGTAAATCCGTCAAGAATACTGAAGCATCCTCCAAAGACAAATTATACACTCCAGCACATTCTTGATGAAAACTCGAAGAAAGTAATTGTTAAAGTCGAGTCTTTATTGGTGCAGAATCTGCTTACTTCTGGGAATGACGTTGACTACATGGTCCATCAGGCCAATTCTACCTTTAAATATTTGAAAGGGCTTGGTGCAGATTATGGCTCTTCTTATAGAGATGTCGCAGAACACATTAAATATTGCTGTGATTTGCAAGACATGGAGAAAGAAGAAACTATGTTGTCTTTGTCAGCATTGCAGAAAAAATATGAAAATGATGTACTTAGTGTAAATGATGTTGAGGAAGATTTGGGGCGTACTCGAGGAGAACTGGAGATGGCCAAGAATAAAAAGAAAACTTTGAAGAGGCAAATCAAGGATCTGAAGACAGAGGTAGCACGTATCGAACATGAAGAAGAGTGTCTGAAACATAACGAAATAAAATACAAAGAAGCCCATGAAGTTGCAAAAGCCAAGATGGAAGAACTTGGCACCCAGTTGGAGGCAGCTCAAGCAAAGCAAAGGGAAATTGAGCAGCGCAAGAATGCAGCTCTCCAGGGAATTGAATCCACCACTCGACACCTACGATCCACATTTCTTGATAATCTCGATAAGTTGGATTTTTGATACTCATTGAACAAGCTCCCTACTAAATGAACTGGAAGTCCTCTTGACCATCTTGAACTGTTTTGGGAGTTCATATTTGCAGCAGCAGACAAGAATTATTTCTTCATTTGGTTATCGTCATGTAGTAGATTCTCCTTAAATTTTCTTGTCATGCTTTCTGTCTTTTAGCATGTACAATCTTGCAGCATTAGACTGCTTTTTTACTTCTGTTTTATGTCAACTTCCTATGTTCTAGTACGAGAATGACTTAACTACTGTCTTTTGCTTCAAGGAAATCCTCAAAACTACTGTGTTCTTCTGATCCTGTAATTTGACTATATATGCACATTTGCATTTGATTATGTTAATGTCTTCAAAAAGTGGATATGTAACAAAAATCTCCTATTTTGGTTTCAAGTTTCAACCAATACTATGTCAAAACGCCTACTTAGTCGCTCACTCTGATAATAGAAATTTAAGAATTATTTGTCGGAGTTCACTTTGTTTATTCACTAATGGAAAATAGACAGCTCCATTGTTTTAACTTGTTGGTTTGGTGATCAGATTACTATTAATTTGCTCATTTACATGTGTAACACCCCTGCAGTTGGTCTTCAAGATCGCGTGGCATCAATTTATCAGTCCGAAGCAGCAACCAAAGCTTAAAGGATGTCGGATAAGAGCTGTGGTGAAAAGTCAGATAGGCCAAACCAATACTCTCCAGCTATGCAGTCACAGTCAGGATTAATAAAAGAAGTGAAGACAGAAATTGAAGATGTTGCACCTGATATTATTCAAGGAGGTACTGATGAAGGTCCTCGTACTACTGTCGTTCAAGATACCAATGTCAGTCCCTCAATAGAAGAATGTTAGTCCGTTGATACAAGAAGAAGGACGAATGACTAACTGTAGAGTGATTTCCACAGTTGGCTCAACTGCAGAGAACTCACCAAATGAACTAGTCCTCTTGATATAACAATAGAGTGAGTTCCACTGTTAGCTCTATTTTTTAAGCAACTCTAAAGCATCTATCAAGTTCTAAATTTGAAGCATACATCATCAGAAGTAAAAAGATTTAGTTTGTTTTCATTATGTTCTAACTTCCAAACATACAGATTGTTTTCATTTCTCAGTACGCTTTTAAGTTTAAAGCATGTATCTATCACAGTATCACTAAAGCTTTAGTAAGTTTTCCTTAATATCATTTTGAACTTAGTACTTAGAATCTGCCACCTATCGCCTGAAGTTCGTATAATTTAAGTTATATGCTAGCTAATATATCATAGTGATTGAAAATATATTGCTCATGTCGTTTTGTGTTTATGAAGAAATGTGATTAGTGGGGGATTCATGTAATAGATGTCAATTTGTTTTGAATTGGTTATTGTTATCATCAGTGTCATTGTGATTCATTCATTTTAATTTATGAGTCTTATTTTTCTTTTTAATTTGTTTGAAAGGAACGTCATGTTTGATATTTAGTAAAATTTTCATGACTTTTTTTTTCTTCTTCATTTTATATACTTGCCTTGTATGACATGACCAAGATTACCAGATTTGAGGCGCAATCGGATTATATTATTGAATCTAAAATTTAATGTAAGAACATTCTAGAGTTTTTTTTCCCACACTGAACTACTTCATCAACCAAAATCCATTTTTATTCCTATCAAGAAATTGTCTATTTCGGCCATTATTTCTCTGTTAAAGATCTTTCCTTCTTCGCTTAGATTTTAGAGCTATCACCTCAAATTTCCATTCAGAAAACCCCTTTTCAAGCAGAAGTAAGAATGTCGGCGGAGAAAAACGATATACCACCTTCACCTGTGATTCCAAGCCCTTTGGCCCCGATTTCACCTACAAACAGTATTTGTGATCCTACCATCATGGACGATCATCAACGCAGAGTTGGTGATCGGACTTCTCTTGGTAGGAGGCACAATTCAAGAAAAAGGGACTCCCCAGATTTCTTTGTTCCCACCCCTTTCGGCCCTTCTCTACGATTACACGGCCAGGGTTTACGACGTGGTCCAGGTCGCCCTCCGAAACAAAGATTAGATGGTGAGCTACCTAACCTCTTACTTTATCTTAATGATTTTATATCTGCTACATGATGTTTTAGTTCAAGGCTTGTTTGTAGGACTTAGTATTAAAGTAGTTCCAGAGGCAGACTCATAGGATTCTAGGGCAAATACCTCAAGTGTTATTAGTTTGATTTTTTAAATTAAACTTTTATACATATTCAAGGGTTGTTTGGTTGATGGAATAAGGGATTACAGTCCTAGTATAAAATGCAGGATTATTCTACTATGCGTTTGCTTTTGAGTATTAGTTAGTCCTGGAAACCATTTTGTACTAAAATAGTGGGACTATCTATCCCATATAGAAGGTGGATAAGCAAAGTATCTGTCATGTTCCTAGATTGAGTCATGACATGTTTATAGTTACAAAATTGCAATTATCAAATATGTATTGCTCACGTTATTTCTTGTGTTTATAAAGAAATATGATTAGTGGGGATTCATGTGTTAAGTCTTCCACATCAATGGGGGATGGTTGGTTTGGTCTCCTTATATGGACTTGGGCAATCCTCCCCTCCCCTTATAAGCTACCCTATGAGGTTGAGTTAAGCCCAGGGGCTAAATATATCATCATGTAATCGATTTCAATTTGTTTGGAATTAAGGCATAGTTATTGTTATCATTAACGTCGTCGTGATTCATTCGTTTTAATTGATGTGTCTTATATCTATCATCATGTTCGAACTGTTGAGGATGATGAGTTGATTAAGGACCATATTCAGGGATTTTATCAAGATCTTTTTACTGAAACTGAAGTTTGGAGACCAAGCTGGGAAGGTGATAATCTGAGAAAATTATCAGACGAAGATAAAGAGTGGTTGGAGAGGCCTTTCACTTTTGAAGAAGTGGAAAGAGTAATCAACTCTTTTGATGGTGACAAAGCACCAGGTCCGGATGGTTTTAATCTTCATTTCTTCCAGAAGTGTTGGAATACTGTCAACCTTTGACATATGGAATGTTGTGGATGCTTTTCAACGGAAAGGCACCTTTGATAGAAGCATAAATTCTACCTTCATAGCTTTGATACCAAAAAAGAAGGGAGCAGTGGAGATAAAAGACTTCAGACCTATTAGTCTTTTAGGAAGTGTATATAAGATATTGGCTAAGTTGTTGGCTGAAAGATTGAAACTGGTCGTTGACAATTTGATCTCTCATCATTAGAGTTCCTTCATTAAAGGTAGACAAATAATAGATGCAGCTTTGGTGGCTAACGAAAGTGTGGAACATTTGTTGAAAATGAAGAAGAGAGGTGTAGCCTGCAAGCTTGATCTTGAAAAGGCTTATGATCATGTTAATTGGGCTTGCTTGATCAATGTCATGAAGTTGATGAATTTTGGGAACAAATGGCTTGACTGGATTAGATTCTGTATTTCTACAGTTAGAGTTTCCATCTTAATAAACGGAAGTCCTCATGGCTATTTCAAGTCTCAAAGAGGGTTGAGACAAGGAGACCCCTTATCTCCTTATCTATTGTTTTAATAATGGAATTGTTGAGCAACTTGTTAAAAAGGGCTGAACAATTGGGTTGGATCAAGGGGTTGTGTATTGGGAGAAACAATTGTAACAATGTAATGTTGTCTCATATTTTGTATGCAGACGACACTCATTTATTATGTGAGGCAGATAAAGAACAATTTCTTTATCTTAGAGGAATTCTACTGATTTTTGAAGCACTGTCTGGATTGAAAGTAAATCTGGGAAAGAGTTGTATATTTAGTATAAATGAGGATGACTGTATAGGAGACTTGGCAAATATTTTGGGGTGTCAGGTGGAAAAATTCCCTATAGTTTACCTTGGATTTCCATTGGGAGTGAGAAGGAATGACCAGAATATTTGGCAAGGAGTTTTGGATAGATGTGCCAACAAATTAACTCCCTGGAAGAAACAATATTTGTCACTTGGGGGAAGACTCACATTGATTAACAGCATTTTAGATAGTATGCCTTCCTATCTAATGTCATTATTTGCTATGCCTGAAGCAATTGAAAGAAAGATGAACTCTATGAGGAATAAGTTCTTATGGGAAGGAAATAGTAGCAATAAAAAGTTTCACTTAGTTAGATGGCTAGTGGTCACTAGGGCAAAGGAAGGGGGTGGATTGGGAATTAGAAACTTGAGATTGCACAACAAAAACATGTTGTTTAAGTGGCTTTGGAGATTTAGCAGGAACGAAGTGGTGGTCTGGATCAAAATAATTGAAGCAATCTATGGTAGCAGACAAGGCTGGAATCCCCCTTCAAATATTTCATACTCTAGAGGGGGAGTATGGAAAGGGATTTGTAAATTATGGGCCGAGTTTCAACAATTCACCAAATTGGAGGTGGGGAATGGAGCCAAAATTCGATTTTGGACGGACTTATGGACGGGTGATGTGTGCTTGAAACAAAGATTTCCTATTTTTTTCAGTTGTTGCAATAACAAAGATGGAGTTGTGGCTGATTTTTATTCCAACACGGGATGACAGATGAATTTTAGAAGGAATTTGAATGATTGGGAAATTGACGACTTCTGTCAATTGCTCCTTCAACTGGATTATACCCACATTGATCAGAGCAAGGGGGATTCACTAGTATGGATAGCTAGTAATGATGGAACCTTCTCAGTTAAAAAGTGCTATAGCCTTCTAATGAAGCAAACGAGATTTTGGGATACTAGTTGGCCATGGAAAGGGATTTGGAGAACTAAGGCACCTATAAAGGTAGCTTGTTTTGGTTGGATTGCAGCATGGGAAGCTTGCCTTGCACAGGATAATCTTCAGAAAAAGGGTTTTGCACTAAGTAATAGATATTACTTATGTGAAGAAGATTTGGAGACTGTGAATCACCTTCTTTTGCATTGCAGAATAGCTAGACAATGTTGGGAATTTTTCTTCAGTATTTGCGGGATCTCTTGGATCATGCCTCAGCGTGTGAAGGAATTATTGGAGAGTTGGCAGCACCAGAGAACACACAAAACTTTGAAGCAAATCTGGAGAACTATACCTTTGTGCATATTCTGGACTATCTGGCTAGAAAGAATAAAGCTTGTTTTGATGGGCAAAAAGACCATATTTCTAGAGTTAAAACAAGTGTTTACATAATTTGTTTGGTGGTGTAAAAGTAGTTTCCTTGATAATATAGATCAATAAATGGAGTTTTTGGAGCTGCTAGGGAAATGTTGTAATTGACTGTATGGATATTCCCAGCAGTCTTTTGTAACTTTTGGTTTTGGTACCTTCTTGGTACTTAGCCAATAAACCTTTACCTTATCAAAAAAAAGTTAAAGCATTAATATTCTTAAGCTAAAGCTTCAGTAAGTTTAAATTGTTAAGCTTATATTTTTATCCTTTACTTACTTCCAATATCTTAAACTAATCTATCCATGTCTTTGATGTTGAAATGCCATCCATGAAAACAACAGAAAGTTCAGCCTCACAACCTTTGCGGCGTGGTCCTGGTCGTCCCCAGAGAAAGAGATCAGTTGGTGAGCCTCCACCTTTCCTCACTCTGTACTTATGCCTCATGAACATTCTATTTTTTTCTCTGTTGGGGGCATGTTAAAGTAGTTCACTAATTTATTAAGTTCCTATATAAATGATAAAGGTGAACAAATTTTTAAAACATAAAATATGATCAGTGAGGGCTCATATAGACGATCCGAACTTGTTTAGGAATTAGCGTTGTTATTATTGATGTATAAAATGACAAAATTCCAATATGTTTCATTGTACTGGTGCTATAACACTATTTTTTATTATTTATTTTGTACAACCAAAACCGCTGAAAGGATAACCGGCCACCTCTATTTTCATTTCCCACCCTTTTGATAATGGCAGAGAAACTCCAATCTAGAATTTCCTGTTAAAAGGCCATGTAGTTTAAGATATAGAGCTTCCCGATATCTGCCGCATTTTGTGTGATGCCATTCCTCAACCTGTAGAACGTCTCGGAGGAAACAGAGAACATTACTTACTCTTAGCTCTTATTTATTTTTTTGAGCTCAACTCATCTTCAACAATCAGTGTTTCTGCATTCTCAAATTTTTTATGTTCTTCTACAGTACAATCATGTGTTTCTTCATTCAAAAGTACTATATAAAGTATAAACTACATTTTCTTAGTAAATTCTTGAATAGGTTCTGTTAACAGCTATGTTTCGTTGTTTTTTTTTAATATACTGAACTGTGTTGACATTGTTAATGTGACAGCGGCGACAAATGCTCCAGAGGTAGTTCTCCCACCTCCTGTGCCGCCTATAGGATCAAACCAAAATATTCCTGAGCAAGTTTCGATGAGCACAAATTCAGAGCTAGTTCCCCCACCTCTTGTGCCTCCAACAGGATCAAACAAAAACATTCCTGAGCAAGTTTTGATGAGCACAAATTCAGAGCTAGTTCCCCCACCTCCTGTGCCACCAACAGGATCAAACGAAAATATTCCTGAGCAAGTTTCGATGAGCACAAAGTCAGAGCTAGTTCTCCCACCTCCTGTGCCACCAACAGGATCAAATGAAATTATTCCTGAGCAAGTTTCGATGAGCACAGATTCAGATTTAGTTCCCCCACCTCCTGCGCAACCATTGGGATCAATCAATGATACGCCTTCGCTGATTCCTTGTGATGAAGAGGATGATCAGAGAGAGACAAATTTGAAGGTGAATCCTTTATCAAGACTGGAGACACCTAAACAAACACCTTCTTCCCAAAACCAAATGCCTGAAAAGTCAAAAAAAGTGTTGACTGATGAAGTCCAGTCTGTATTGGTGTCTCGTATCTCTTCTGGTACGACCACCAGTGTGGATGACATGGTTAACTTTGCCAATGGTGCTTTCTCCACATTGAATTGGATCGGTGATGATTATGGGTCATTCTACCAAGATGTCAAGAACATGATTTCTTACAAATATGATTTGTTCATTGCAGAGAGAGATGGAGATGTGTGTTCTGTTTCCGAATTGGAGAAACAACATTTAGATGCTGTTCTTCGTGCGTATAATATTGAAAAGGAAATCGAACATACTCAAGCAAAACAGGAGAAGGATAAGAAGAAGGAAAAATCGAAGAAGCTAATAGAAGATGCAAGAGAAATGATTCAGCAATTCCCTGCTTGGAACAACAGGTTGCTGCTATTGAACAAGATGAGAAGTGCATGAAAGATGACGAGCAAAAGCATAGAGCAGCCCATAGGATTGCACTAGCTGAGGTTGGAAAAGTCAGTACCCAAATCAATGAAGCTAGAGCTGTGCAGATGGATGCTGAGCGGCGCAGGAATGAAGCTCTCCAAGGGATTGAATCCACCATGCGACGGCTACAGTCATATGTAGAAGAAAGATAGAAGAGAAACATGAAATGATGGTAATGCACACTAGTGTTTAAGTCTCTAGTTGAACATGTTTTATATTTTGGTATCTAGCAAAGTAGTACCAATTTTCAATAATTTGAACCTCTCTTTTATATTTTGCCTTTCAGTTTTGTTTGTGTGGTGCTTAGTAGACACAGTTACCCGGTATCTATACTGGTGAAATGTATCAGGTACTTCGTGGAATTAGTCGAGCTATGTCTAAGCTTGCCCTGATATAAAAAAAGAATGGACCACAGCTTGGGGGTCTTTGTTGGACAATGTATTGGTGACATTTTCATCTACCTGCAAGTTAACTGTGGCTTCTTGAGTTTATGAATACATATGGTTAGTAAGAATACATGTAATTGATTTTAATTTGTTTGGGACTGAAGCATAGTTATTGTTATCATCAATGTCATGATTCATTTGTTTAATTTATGTGTCTTTTTTTTTCTTTTTTAAATTGTTGGTAAAGAATGTCGTGTTCATATTTAGTAAAATTTTCATTATAGTATTTTTCATTTTATATACTTACCTTATAAATGATACCATCAAAATCACGAGATTTGAGGCGTGATTTGATTATATCATTCATATCTCTCGATTAAGATCATAAAATTTCAAAATCTTTTACATTCACAATATTATTATTATTTTCATCATTTTTCTTTAATTTTTTTCTTCTTTCCCCTTTTCTCTATTTCTTTGAAATTTTCTTTCTATTTTTCTTCTTCCTTCCCCATAAAAAAAAACTTGATGATAGTGAATAAAGACCTCCCTAGAATTCTTCAATTTCATGCAATCAAATAAATAAATAAAAAAACTTGTAGGTTTGTTTTTTCCAATGGATTTTTGTGGATAGAAATGAAAAATCTATGAATTTGTTTAAATTATCTAATAATAATTTTATTCCCTTTATTTTTTACCTAATTAATTAATTTTCATTGTCAACATAACCTTTTAATTTCTATATTTTAATGATACAGACTCTTATTTAAGATAGGGTGTCACATGCATTTCTCTTATATACTCGTTATAAATTAGTTATAAATTGAAATGTAGCCCTTGTTAGAGAGTACTAAAAGAAATTATCAAGAGCTTTCATTTTTCCTGAGTAATTAGTTTTGTGTCAACTCTGTTAATAGTGGATCAAAGTTTAATTGAGTTTAAGTAAATTTTGAAGAGATAGGGCAAATTACAATACTGAGTTTAGACAAACTCCGTATGATGAAATAAACATCAACAAGGACATTGAGTCCATAAGAATGGAGTGTATATGACACTCTAACTTACGATAAGAGTTTCAAATCAACAAAACACAAAAAATGTTAGATATATAACTATGCATGTCTTACACCATAATGATGATTGTAAAGCCTATGAATCTAAGCTCAAAGCGAACAATATCAACAGACCAAAATGTTACGGATTTTTATCATATGAAAGTAGCCGTTTTTACTTGTCAAATATCGAAGATGACATATTCATGATAATTTTACTATATCATATTTTGAATAGAATAAAATTAATATTTTTAAAAATAGCTATAATTAATAATAAATTAAATTACCACTTAATTTTTTTTAAATAAACATTTATTTTTAATACGGTGAACAAATAAAAATAAACAATCAAATATGATTTAAAAACCTCGAAAGTTGCACTAATATTTCTGCTCTTTTTCCCACACTCCTCCACTGCAACTGTTGTTCTTTTTTTGTGTTTCTGCAAACCAAACCAAAATTACTTATAAGAAAATTCCACCGTTAACTTTTTTTTATCATTAGCTCCATTTTTCCACCATTTTTAATCTCTCTTGAACCTCTTCCCCTTCAAAAATTCAGCTAATTTTTCATGTATTTAAAGATCCCTTTTAAGCAGCAGAAGGAAGCTAATCAATGTCAAAAACAATAGAAATTCCACCTGGGTTTACAAAAACTTTGTGCAAAAGAATGAGTATTGATGATAGTTACATGCAAGATGATAAGAGGAAAGTTGGGTCTGTTAATGAACTTTCTGGTAAAAGGTGCAGTTTAAGAGAAAGAGTTGCCCCAAATCTCTATATTCCTGTCCAGTTCCAGCCCCGTCCACGTACACCGGGTCGCCCTCGGAAACAGAGGTCAGATGGTGAGCTAGCTACCTACTCTTGCTTTATGATTTTCTATCAACATTTGGGTTTCCGTCTAGTGTTTGGTATCCGTATTAGGGTTTGACTAAATTATTTGTAGTTGCATTTTGTTGGACATGAGGAGCATTCTATTTTGATTCAAGGTTTCTTCGTCGTCCCAATTTAAGTGATATTGTTTGATTGGATACGGAATTTTGAAAATAGTAATAGAAAATTTTGTTATATTTACTAAAATGCCCTTATCAAAGTTATTTTAGTATTCGCTCGGTCTCAATTTATGTGACAGTTTTTGGATTTTAAGATTCAAACAAGTCTGTGTTTAACTTATTCATTTTGACAAATTAAGAAAGGCTAAATTAATTAATTTTGAAAAAGGTAAACTTGTTGAATATTTTAAATTTTTAATTCATTCACTTCATAATTGATAGGGGTGAAATGGTAAATTTACTATGTTAATCATTGTTTTCTTAATAACTGTGTCAATTCAAGAGTGGACAAGTAATTATGGACAAAGGGAGTATCTTTTAATATTTTGAATTGTCACTTATTGTGAATAATAGTACTTTTTACTTGATTTACTAATATATAAATTTCATTTCAAAAGATTTGAAGATTCCGTAAATTCTTGGTCAAATTGGAACTTTTTGACTCTTAAAAATGAAAAGTGTCACATAAATTGGAATAAAGGAAGTAGTGACTTTTAGTTGATTTTTCTTGACAATAAAATGTTAGGCGAGACAAATGGAAATGGTGTTGTTAAATAGTTGTCAAATAAGAAAATGTGATTCTTTTTGGGACTAACAGAAAGGATACCACATAAATTGGGATAGAAAGGAGGTAGAATATACACAAATCTTACCCCTTTGTGGGATAGTGATGTTATTTCCGATCGATCCTCGGCAGTCGGCTCAAAAGAAGTGTAGTCATAACATGAAAGTAGATAGAAAAGACAATAACAATACAATAGCAAGATCAACAAAACAATCGAAGTAACATGTAGTAGTGCGATTGAATAAAAAGAATACTATGCAATTACTAGGTAAGACTGCTAAATAAGAAGATGAGAAAAGGAGGCTAGCTCCCTGTCTTTCCCTTGTCTCTCCCTCGGGAAACTACCTGCTACCCTTCTACCCTATATGAATGGGGGGAATTTAGGAAATTAAGACACTAGGTAGAATTTGAAGAACGAAGAGAAATGTGATATGTGAGAGATTATATAGTCGTGTCCAACTTGTTTAAGGAACGAGGCATCGAGCTGGTTTTCAGTAAGATTTAGTAAGTTTTCAGTAAGTTGCAACATAAAGCTTACATCTGTTTTTGACTAAAGGTTTAGTAATTTTCAAGAAGTTTTAACTTTTAAAACGTCCTGCATCTTCTTAAGCTAAAGCTTCAGTAAGTTCTAACAGTTAAGCATGTATCTTTTTCCTTTACTTCTTCCAATTTCTTAAACTAAATCTTTCCATGTTGATATTGAAGTGACAGCTTCACAACCTTCACGACGCAGACCTGGTCGCCCTCCAAAACAGAATTCAGATGGTGAGCCTCTTCCTTTTCCCGCTCCGTACTTTTGCTTCATGATTAATGATTTTAAATCTAGAAAACTAACATCCTGTTTTGGTTCATGATCATTGAAAGTTCATATAACCGACTAGCCGTCCCCAAGTTGTTTAGGAATGAGGGTAGTTGTTGTAAATGAATTTTCGTTCCGGTTTGCCATTTGTAAAGCTTTGATGTGAAAAAGGAAAAGAGGGAAATAAGAGAGTATGATATAGTTGAGACCACAAAAATATGTTCCTCTGTTAGCTCTATTTACTTTTAGCTAAGTTTCAACCATTAAGCATATATCGTTTTCCTTTACTTGATCTAATTTCTCAAACTATGTATTTCCATGTTGTTGATGTTGCCATGGCAACAACAGAAATGCCAGCCTCACAACCTTCACGGCATCGCTCAGGTCGCCCTCGGAGAAAGATATCAGATGGTAAGCCTCCTCCTTTCCCCACTCCTTATTTTCGCTTCATGATTTAATGATTTTCAATCTAGTGAAGTAACATTCTGTTTTGGTTCAAGGTTCCATTTCCTTTTTTCTATGTAGAGGTTACTATTAAAGTAGTTCACATATTGTTTAAAATTCCAACGTAAATGATAAAAGTGCATTTGATGAATTTTTAAAGGGAGAAACATGATCAACGAGGAGGGTTCATATAGCGGACCTGAACTTGTTCGTATTGGTGCTATAAAATTATTTCTTTTGTTTCTGCACAATCGAAATCACGGTAAGGAGAACCGGTCACCTCTGTTATCATTTGTCTTCCATCAACTTTTTTCAACATCTTTTCAGTCCAAGATTCCTGTTAAAAAACCGCGTCTTTACGTTTTGCCAACATGAATTAGAATTGTTATAATGATGAAACTTCTCAGTAAGTTTTAACTTTAAATTGTTGATGTTGTTAATGTGACTGCCAAAATTAGTTACAGAAGCTCCAGCAGTTTCACCTCCTACACCACCATCGGGGTCGTCCAGAGAAGTTCCAGTACAAGTTTGTGCGACTACAAATGCTCCGGAGCCAGTCACCCCACCTCCCGGGCCACCATTGGGATCAACCAGTCATAGTCCTTTGGAAGTTCCCTTTAATAGTGAGGATGAGCAAATAGAAACAAAGTTAAAGATAAATCCTTTATTAAGACTGAAGAAACCCCCAAGGACAAATCGTACGCCCGAGATGCTTGACGAAGAATTGAAGAAAGTAATTCTTAAAGTTCAGTATATATTGGTGCAGAAGCTGCTTACTTCTGGGAACGATGACGTTGACTGCATGGTTCATCAGGCCAATACTACCTTTTCATATTTGAAAGGATTTGGTGTTGATTATGGCTCTTTTTACAAAGACGTCACAGAGTACATTGAACATCGCTACAATTTACGTGATGCAGAGAGAGAAGAAACCTCGTTGTCCTTCTCGGTGTGGGGAGGAAGTTATTTAAATGCTATGCGTACTGCAAATGATGTTGATGAGGTTATCGTTCGTACTCATGGAGAACATGAGAAGGTCAAAGAGAAAATTGGATCTTTGAAGAGGCACATTGAAGTTCTGAAGCAAGAGCTAGAACGTATGGAACACGAAGATGAACGTCTGAGACGTGATATGATAAAATATAAAGTAGCACAAGAAGTTGCAGAAGCCAAGAGACAAGAACTTGGCACACAGTTGGAGGTAGCACAAGCAAAGCTAAGGGAAATTAAGCAACGCAAGAATGCAGCTCTCGCAGGTATTGAATCCACCACTCACCGCCTAGAGTCTACATATCGTTGATGATCTCAGTTAGTTGGATTTTGTATCCTCTTATTGAACTAGCTCACCTACTAGATAAACTGAAAGTCCTCATGACTATTTTGACATGTTTTGGGACAGGTTGTTTCTTCGTTTAGTTATCGGTATGTAGTAGATTCTCCTTGAAGCTTCTTGTCATGCTTTCAGCCTTAGAACTTGTGGCTTCAGAGTGCTTTTTTATCTACAGTTTCATGGATGGCATTGATTCCACTGAGGAGTGGCAAAATCAGTCCATAAAATCATGATCCGGCCAACTCATTTAAGTTTGAACAGGTTAATAACACGCTTATTTTGTGCGTGTTCTCAAGGTTTGAAGAGTATGGAGGTTGGAAAATTATATAGTAAATAGTTAGTAATCTAACATAGTACTATATTAAAGTAATGAATGAAAACTTAGCTTAACAATGAAAGTTAAATTTAAATTTATTCGAGTTGATAAATTATAATTGTTGAAAATATATTGCTCATGAGTATGCTGATGCGAGGAAACAAGTATCCCGTGAAATATCCACTTAGTATATATACCTTTTATACTAAGGACATATACGCGTCATAATCTTATCCACAGATTCGATATTTATTAAATATCGAATCGACGGATAAGATTGCGCCCTATTTAGTCTTTCCGTTAGAGTAAAAGGCATATATGCTCTAGTTTTGGGACGACAGGGGCACCAATATCCCAAAAGTATGACGGAGGATATCTGCATACCATTTACGATAGTTCGAAGATATATTGGTCTTTTTGCTCAAAAAAGTATGGATCACAGCTTAGGATTCTTTGTTGGAAAATCTTTTGATAGATATTTTCTTCTACTTGCAAATTGATTAGTTACTATTTCCAGTTTCAGTTCAAATGAACTTTACAACTAATTTCTGCAACAAAAATATTCATCTGAGGAAATATGAAAAATTGAGCCCTTGTTATTATCACAGGCATTGAATATATTCCTGACAAGGCTAAAAAGATAAATAGAGAAGAAAACTCTGAACTTTCCATTTGTATCATTTGAAGAAAAAAAGTTGTTTTGTTTTCAGATTATTATAAAGTGGTCCATCGGTCTTAATTAATGTGACATATTTCGCTTTTAAGATTCAAACTGTGTAAATTTTGATCAATATTTTAAAATATATTTTTTATTATTTTAACATGAGAAGACCTTGTAATTTGTAGGAGTAATTTTTAGGCTTAAGTCATTCATGGCCACCTAAAGTTATCCGCATATTTCACTTAGACACCTCAATTAAGAGTTGTACCTATTGAACACTTGTCTTGTTCAAAACATGTACCTATTGAATACATTTTGATGACATGGCATCATAGGTGTAATACACCTCTGAGAAGCGCGTGAAACAAAAAAAAATTACTTACAGACCAATCACAAAATAACACGTCAACATTCAAAAAGTAAAGCAAACATTTCAACATTAAAAAAAAAATCCCTAAAACATGTCTTCTTCCCCAATTCCAAACCATCTTACTGCATTTCCTCCTCACCAGCTAAATCGTTTTGCCACCTTCCCCTGCCACGCACCCTTTCTATATTCTCCTTCATTTTTTCCCTTTCTACTATCATTCCACCATTACCAATATCGTCTTTGTTATCTTAGTCGGAAAAGTACTCATTAAATAAATAGCAGTCAAAATTAAAAAAATTCTAACATTATAAAATGTAGAAAAATTCAAAGAGTTGAATATGTAGTCCCCTGCCACGCACCCTTTCTATATTCTCCTTCATTTTTCCTTTCTACTATCATTCCACCATCACCAATATCGTCTTTGTTATCTTAGTCGGAAAAGTACTCATTAAATAAATAGCAGTCAAAATTAAAAAAATTCTAACATTATAAAATGTAGAAAAATTCAAAGAGTTGAATATGTAGTCCCCTGCCACGCACCCTTTCTATATTCTCCTTCATTTTTCCTTTCTACTATCATTCCACCATCACCAATATCGTCTTTGTTATCTTAGTCGGAAAAGTACTCATTAAATAAATAGCAGTCAAAATTAAAAAAATTCTAACATTATAAAATGTAGAAAAATTCAAAGAGTTGAATATGTAGAGGGAATTTAATCAAAAAGAATAAAAATCAAATTGGTAAAAAAAATCCGGTGAACCTCCATTTTTTCCGGCAAGGCTACTTCGTATCTAAAATTATTTCTTTTGAAATTGTTAAAAAATTCAAGCCCTAAAAAACTCACAACATAAAAAATATCAACAAATCTTAATTGATGTTTGAGGAAGACAATGAAATTGGAGAAATGACAGTTATGGTGTTGATGGAAATCACCAAATCGGGATAGAAGGGAGAGGGTAGGTAGCAAATATGGTGTTGATTTTCCTAATCACCATGTGGGGGACGCACTGAGGTGGCTGGTCGGCAGACTGGTTGCTACCGGAAATGTTCTGGGTTGTGTAGAGTTCATTGTTGCTTTTTTTTTTATACTTTAAAATATTTTCTTATAATATATTTTTATATTTTTGAATCCAAATGACATATGTCACAATTTAATTCGTCGTTGTGCCATGTCATCGCGAGTGTATTTCACACCGTTCACATTTTTGTTTGATTGTCAAAAAAATGTCGAAGAGGTATCAATTCGAAGTGGTAGAGGTGTTCAATAGATACAAGCTTTAGTTGAGGTGTTCAAGTGAATTATGCGAACAACTTTAAGTGGCCGTTGATGACTTAAGCCTAATTTTTATATTCCGAGTTCGATTTTTTTTGATAGAAGAAGAACCAGAAATTGGCCCTGGATTTATCATTTTTTAGTATCAAAATTTTATTTTAAAATATTGAGTTGCTCTAATTCATATTCATTTTAGCTTAAAAAATTAATTAATTAGACTCTTTTTTACATATTACATAAATTAATCAATTAGCTTAAAAATATTACATAAATTACAACGAGGAGAGTAAACTTTTTTTGAGAAGTACTTTTGAAATTTTGACCAAACAATAATTGTTCCTCTGTTGTCATCATAAATGCATTTTAAATCAATTAACCAATCACAATTAACTACTCTTTCAAAAAAGAAAATGATAGTTTGGCCAAACAGGCTATTACTTCATCTAAATATCACTCTATTATTCTTTGAATGCGTTAAATTTAATATTTTGAGAAATGTATTAGATATTAAATAGTATTTAGCAGAAATAAAATAAAACAAAAAAATAAATTATCTCTCAGTTTTTTAAATCAAATCAATTTTATTGAAAAAAGGATAGAGAGAACTGAGAAGTAATTTATTATATGCAATTTTTCATGGTTTTGTCCCCTTGTTTTCCCTTTTCCCACAGTTCATTAATTTCCTTCCCCCATTTCCTTTGCATTTTTTTTGTCAGCTAGCTCTTGAAGTCCAAAAATCATTATCCCTATTTTAATTTGGTGTCTCAAATCAACATTGACAAACAACCCCAACAATGACAGAGATAAATTATATTTCAGAAATACCACCTGGATCTACCAATTTTGTGCCTAGAAACATTGAAACTCCAACAATTTATCCTCATCAGAGTGAGAAATTCATGGATGATTTCGAAAGAGGTGGACGAGGTCTCCCTCAGAAACAGATAGCAGTTCCAGCAGAAGGTAAACTTCAATTTTGCTTTTTTCGCGTTTATGAGTTTTAGATTTTAGAAAGAAAAAAAAAAAGAACAGTTTGCTGAATTCTAAATAAATTATTGGGATAAGGCACAAGTATCACTAAATTAGGATGGTAAGATGCGTGAGAGATGTTTGGATGACATGTAAGCCAAAAAGATATACAAAATTACAAAAAGAATGGGTCAAGTCCTAATAGGACCTTAATTTAATTAAGATGTGTCTCTGAAATTTCGATCGTAATCTAGGAAATACTTATATGTTATCCCTAAATTATTTATCAAATATTTAGTAGATTTTAACACAAAAAACTATAGAGTTTTGCCGAACCTTATAGCTTCCCCACTACCCACTTTTGCCTCATCATTAGGAGAGGGGAGGGAAAAGGGAAAACAAGGAGCGCACCAAGTGAACTAGCCTTCAATTTCGAGGTTGATACTAAGGGGAGGATGTATCAATGTTGGTATGGGTTCAATTGAACTCATAAAGTAAAGTTTTGATATTTTAGATTTTGAAGTGAAGTTTCAAAAAGTACTATATCTTATGATATTGTTGATTTTGAAGCGTCATCGATGGCAATGCCAACAATTCCATCGGGATCGAACATAAATACGCCTCTACTAATCATAGATGAAGAAGAACAGAAAGATGAAAAGATAAATCTGAATCCGTTGTCATTACTGAGTCCACCACCAAATCCACGTCTTCGGATTAATGATTTTTCATCTTCTCACATCAACGAAGAATCAAAGACCATGATCTCTCATGTCAAGTCAGTTTTGGTGTTCCAACTCACCTCTGGAAGCATGAAAAACATTGAAGCAATGATTAAGTGTGCGAACAATGCCTTCTTCAACTTGGATTTTCTTGAAGCAGATTATTCATCTTTCTACAACAATGTTAGAGATTTCATCGCGTATCATTATGATTTGCTCACAGCTAAGAGACAGAGAGAAATGCAGTCATTTCCTGTTGAGCTGAAGACTAGATATGAAAACGCAATAACTTGTGCAAATGATCTTAAAGATGAGATCTCTCAAACACAAGGACATATCGCGATGGTTATGAAAAAGAAGGAAAGTTTAGAAAGACAGATAGTAGACGCGATGGAACTGATTGGTAAGCTGAAAGAATGTGTTGCTGTTCTAAAACAGGAGGAAGGGGCTTTGAAATACGAGGAAGAAAAATGTGTTGCAGCGTATGAGATTGCAAATCATGAGGTGCAAAACATTTGTAATCAGGCTGAGGCAGCTAAGAATGTACTGAGGGAAATTGATCAGCGCGAAAATGCAGCTCTCAATGGCATTGAGTCAGCCTTTCGTCGTCTAAAATCCATACAATCTTAACTATTAGTTTCAGATATAATGTACACTCGTTAACTGTTTCGTGTAAATTATGGTGTTTTATTGAGCTTTTTAGAAGTCTTGTTAATGAAATAAACGAGTTCATGTGAATATGATTTTAGCTTCAGTTTGTATGTGTTTTAGTCGTTACGTATTGGTGTGATTGTCTGAAAATAGAACTGACTTTACTTCAACTCGCGACAACCAGGTTTGGAAGTAGCAAACCATAGGGGCTTAGAGATAATTTCTTTTGAAGTTTGGTGCATTAATTAAATGAACTGGAACCAATTACCAATTAGAATATTCGAAACAATAATCAGTAGTAATTGTTTTCAATTATATGTTTAATACATCTTAATAGTATTTATTATTTTTCTTAATGAACATAA